AAAGAAATGAAAGGAAGACATAACAAACCTACCACCAAGCTTAAGAAAACATTAGCAGCACCTCTGACAACCCATGCGCCCTGGGGGCCCCTCCCTTTCTACATCACCCCCTCATCCCCCGCCCCAGAGGAAACCACTGCTCTGATTTTGTGCTCATCATTCCCTTATTATAACTATTGCACATGTTATATCCTTAAATGATGTATGGTTTTGTTTTGCCTGTTTTGAACCTTTAATTTTTTTCCTTAACATTATGCTTTTGAGATTCATCTATATTGATAATTATAGCTATGGTTTATTCATTTCACTGCTGCATAGTATCTCGTATGAACTTAGCACATTTTCTTTAAACATCCTACTGCTAAAAGACATTTGGGTAATTTCCAGTTTGGAGCCATTAGAAGTAAAAAGACTATCAACATTCCAATCTATGTCTCTAATACACGTGCAGGATTTTCTCTAGGGGTATGGATTTAACAGTGAAATTCCTGGGCCTTAGGTAATACCCACCTTGAACTTTATTACATCAAACTGTTTTCCAAAACTGTTGTACTATTGACATTTCCATCAACTCCACATTCCTCACCAACACTTGTTCTCACTGCAGCTTTAACTTGTACTTCACTGACTTCTAATAAAGTTGAGCATCTTTTCACACATCTTTTAGACATCTGTTTCCTTTTCTACAAGATGAGTATTCATTTTACCAATTTTTAATGGGTAATCTTATTTTTGATTCATTGGACTCCTTTATTTATCCTGGGTGCTACCAATCATTTGTTGGTTATTTGTGTTGCAATCATATTCTCCCACTTTAAGGCTTATCCTTTCAACTTTGATGAACAAAGATTCTCTTTTTTTTAATTTATTATATTTTTACTTTTGGTTGCATTGGGTCTTTGTTGCGGTGCGCGGGCTTCTCATTGTGGTGGCTTCTCTTGTTGTGGCACACGGGTTTAGGTGCTCCGCGGCATGTGGGATCTTCCCAGACCAGGGGTCAAACCAGTGTCCTCTGCATTGGCAGGCAGATTCTTAACCACTGTGCCACCAGGGAAGTCCAATTCTCCATTTTAATGGAGCAAATGCATTAATTTTTGCTTAGGGTTTATACTTTCAGTGTATTAAGAAATCTTTTCCCACCGTGAGGTGGTGAAGATATTGCCCAATTTTTTTCCCTAAAAGTGTTTTAAGTTTTTTACTTTCATATTGATATTTTTAATCCATTTGGAATTGGGATTCAATATCATGTGTTTCTATTCAGATAACCAATTGTTCCCATTTTTTAAAAAGTTCTTCCTTTCCCCACTGACGAGCAGTGCCAATTCTGTGAATTATCAAGTTTCCGTATACGTGTGGATCTGTTTCTAGATTCTCTATTCTGTTTCACTAGTCTATTTGTCCATCTCTGTTCTTAAACCCACATTGTCTTAATCACTCTAGCTTTATAATAAGACTTGAAATCTGGTAGAGCAAGTCCACCCACCTTGTCTCTCTTCTGACTATTCTTGGCTATTTGCTCTTTCATACAAATTTTAGAATTAGTTTTATCAAATTCTACTAAAAAAAATCCTGTTGAAATTTTCATTGGAATTGCATTAAATTTATATATCAATAGGGAAAATTGATATGTAAATAATATCAAGTCAATCTAGCCAGGAACATGGTACTTTTCTCCCATTTATTTAGCTCTACTTTGGCTTTCCATAAAATTTTAAAATTTTCTTCATGAAGTTTGGCCTCTCTTTTGCTATACACATATATACACATATTTCGCTGTCATTTTTATTCTAACTGGTATCATGTTTTAGGCCGACTTTTCTGTTTGTTATTAATGTAGAAAGAAAAGCAGTTGACTTTAGAAGCCTACATTCAATGAACTTACTAAACTTCCTTTTATAATTTATTTGTAGACTCCCATTTTCTATGTAGATAATTATATTTTGATTTTTTCCTTTCCTACTTTTATACCTTTCGCTTCTTGTCTTGTTGCACTGGTTACGATTTACAGTACACTTGAATAGAAGCTATGAGAGCAGATATCCCTCCTCTTGTTTCTAGTTTAAAGGAAATGTTTATTTTAAATTTGACTTGTTGCTGTGATGTTAACTATAGGTTTTCTGTAGGTACTCTTTATCAGGTTAAGGAAGTTTTCTTCTATTACTAGTTTACTATGTGCTCCTTATCATGATTAGAAGTTGAATTTAACTGAAGCTATTGTACGTCTATTACTAAGAACATGTATCTCTTCTAATATGTAAATGCAGAAAATTGTATATATATATTTGTCTAATACTGATGCTGCATTCCTAGAATAAAGCCATTGAACCCAGAACTTTTTACCTGGAGAGTCAGAAGAGGTTAAATGACATCAGAGTAGAAACTCTGCTTAAAACTGACTAAGCTGTACAAAGCTAGCCCTACTTGTTCACCTCAAGACCCTATCTCCTCTATGGCATTGTTGCTGACTCACCCACACCTGCTCTGAGCTCTTAGAGCATTTACTGCGGATGATGTTCATCTGACACTTGCCATGTGCTATTCAGTACCTGCCCTGTCTCCCAACTAGAATACAAGTCCCACAAAGAGTAGCAGCTAGAAAGCTTACAACAAATGCTTGCCTGAAAAGCTTAAACTTATTCTTGTGGATATGGTGGTAAAACATGAGTTGGATAATAATGCAGTATCCTTAGAAAATAAGACTCCTGGACATGAGTTTTCTAGAGAGCTGCACTTTAATCCACTAACGCTCACTAAAACTTAAAAATCATTCTAAACTGTATTTCACACTTAACTGCTTTGTGAGTGTTCTGACCATGCTTTATATATTTCTTGATTTTAAGCATAAGTTAACTTTTTTGTTGTTGAGTACAGTTAATCATTAGGAGTATCAGTTATAATAATGCTAAAGATACAGCTGTGGACACATACTGTGTAGAATGCAGAACCTCAGCTATGGCCCTGAATGAGTATTTAACAGGGAAGGAAAAGAAAAAAAAAGCTGGCATTTTCCCCCTTTGGCATTGACATCTAGTTACCTCTCGGCAGCCAATTCACGTTTCCTCCTCCACTCTCCTACTCTCTCCACCCTCTCTTACCCCAGAATTACACAATGCAGAACTCTAGGATACATTTTTAACAGTGATACTGTGAAAAGTTACCATTTGTCCAGATTACAACAACCTTCCAGCTTGTTTTTCCACTGTGGACTCTCTTCTCTGTACCTACTACTGGCTGACCTCATCACTGCCCCTAATCTCTAGGGAGAACAAATATGGTGTAGCTAACAGCACAGACTCTGGGACCAGGCTGCCTGGATTCAAACTCCAGTTCGACATTTACAGGTGAAAGTCCCACTACAAGTCACTTAACCTCATTATTCCTCAGTTTCCTCATTCATATAATGAGAATAAACATATCTCTACCTCATAAGATTGTTATGAGAATTAAATGAATTAATATGTATAAAGTGCTTAGAACACAGCCTAGCTCATAGTAAGCATTATATCTGGATTGTTAAAAAAAGAAAAATGGATAAAATACCACTCTCTTAACTCTCTCTCTTAAAACTACTCCAGTATTTTTCATTTTGTGTTGTGGTTGTGTTGGTGGTGGTAGTGGTATTCTTTTGTGGGAGGGGCAGTGCAGACCTCACTAACTGATCCTCAACTCATCCCACCTGTCAGTGCTTCTTTCAGACCTGGAAGGGGAGGGGGATGGGGAGTGTCAAGGTTATTCATTTTAGCCAGGCTAAAATGAGCACAGGTGAAGAAAATGGGGCTGTTTATTTAATCAGCATAACAGGAATCTAGGGACATGTACGACTGCTGTTTTCAAATATCTGCAGGGCTGGGATGGAGAACAGATACCACTGGAAATTCTATGGAATAGCTACAGGCTCCCCATCACTGAGCATGTTTAAGCCGGGGACTGGTGACCACGTGTCAAGGATGCTTTAAGAATTTTTAAATTTAGCACCAGATAACCTTTAAGATTCCTTCTACCTGTAAAATCTTGGCAATGCTAACGTGAAGCATCAAGATGTTAACAGTCTAGTTGTGAGTCACACATCCAACGAGCTCCTGAAGGCACAGAATTCTTCACTCCCCACAGAGCTTAGCACATCACAACAGATCTAGGTGAGGAATTCCAGCCCGGAGGCTGCGTAAACTCGGCTCACAGTAACAAAAACTTCTCTAAAGCTACACGCATCAATTAGCTGATTCCAGACTTCTGCTGGGACCAATAAATTCAATAAAGCATACATTCCCAAATGGGATTTGGCAAAAAGATGTGTACCCGAATTAACTATCAGACGGTCCTTCACTTCACCCTTCCGAGGACGGACAAAAGCCAACTGAAGTGAGCAGACAGGTTATGGGGAAGGGGCCGGGTGGCCCGGGGTGACCGGGCGACTGGCGAGCCGACTCACACTCCCGGGAAAGGGACAAAGGCCTAGGGGAGAGGAGAGCACGCTGGACTTGGAGGCCGGCAGCAACGCCCCAGCCAGACTGGCCACAGTCCGGGTTTGGACTGGAGGTGCAGAGCTGTGCGGGCAGTGGGTTAAAGAGCGGCAGCGAGGAGGGCCCCTAAGCTCCAACGGAGCCCCCGCGGGGGTCCCCTCTGTCCCCGGGGAGCTGGCCTCGGGGAGCCGGGGGCCACCGGAGCCTTAGCCCCGAGGAGGATCCTGTGGGGAGGCAGGGCGGCGCACCTGTGGCCGGCACTCAGGTCCGCACGGGGCTCCCCGCCCCGCAGCCTCCGCTGCTGCTCAGCCCACTTAGCCCCGCAGCCGGATTTCGGATGGTCCCGACTGCCGCCTCCTCAACCAAGGCCAGTCCTCAAGCCCCAGACAGGCGGTCCGACACTGACGCCGCAGTCCTGGCGCGGAATGTGGGGCAGCGGCTGCCTCCCGCCTGGCCCGGCCCCTGCAGCGAGAGCGACCGCCGCCATCGCGGGCCGCGGCCGGAGGGAGACGCAGGGGCCGCGCGCGCGCGCCGCTTTACCTGAGAAACCAGCGGGACCAGCGTCTGCTCCACTGAGCGAGTTTTGATCTCGAGTCCGGAGTCGAAGGCGAGGCCAAACGGGCCG